CCCGAGCCTCAACACCCCTCCCCCCCCCCACCCTTTTTTCCCGGTTAATGCTTATTCTTTACGCCTTCTCTCAAGCATTACCTCCCCAGGGAGGCCTCCCCGGAGCCCCTGGCTGTAAGATACCCCACATGCATGTGTCCACTTTTGGAATCCTCCCAGGGCACCCAGCCACCTGTTCAACGTCCATCTTCCTCGTAGACCGAAAGTTCCATGCGGGCAGAACCTTGCCCCTTGTCTTCATGGCGCTCGCACCTGCCCCAGTCTTCACTGACAGCAGGTGCTCTGGAGACGGTACCTGAGTTAACCTGGGTCTCCCAGGGATGAACAGTGCTTGCCCTCTGGTTTTCGTGAGCTCATGAGGAACAGCCACACCTAGGGCTGCCCTCCTCCTCCTCCTCCTCCTCCTCCACCTCCTCTTCTCCATCTCTTTTTTTCCCTCCAAATCTTTTTGAATAGGCTTAGTCGCAGCCGTGGCTCCTGATGGAGCTGTGTGCATTGGCTCAGACAGCCTCCTCCCTCACCGCAGTCAGGAACTCTTCTCCAGGCCGTTGTGTGTCCGAAATCCTACTGGAGAGCCTCGAGCTCAGCCTGGCTGCAGGAATGATGCCACACTGACGACAAAGACTTAGGTTGCTGGTTTCATCTCCTCGAGATTCATCTCGGGCTCATCCACGAGACCCTGTCCAGCCCTTCGAATCACGGGGCATCTTATGGAATCAAGGGGAGGAGGTGTTGCTCTAGGACTGTGCACGGTGCGGAGACGCTGAAGCTGGGTGCTCACAAGGAAGGGGCGACTCACTTAGGCTCATTTAGTGAGTGGTTCTGGCTCTCCTGGTCGCGGCCTCTGGCCACGGCTCCTTCAGATCCTCGGACTATTCCAAGCCCTCATTCGCTGACCAGAGAGCCCACATCCTCTGATGGTGGATACGAGTAGGACAGTGCGGGGATTTGTTTTACTTTATGTAAACTCTGCAGTGATGACGGGAACGGTTGGTGATTTCTGCCTCAATTACCAAAGCGATCTGGCTGCGAGGTGTCTGCACTAATGCCTAAGTTCAAGTGTAGGACATAGGGAGCGCCCTTGCCCGGTAAGTGTAATCCTGCAACTGGGAAATTTCCTTCAGTCACAGCATGTTACAGTGCTTCTCAAATTTTGATGTGCAAAAGAGGCATCAGAGAAATCTTTTTTAAATATTTTGAGAGAGAGAGAGAGAACGAGCCTGGGAAAGGCAGAGAAAGAGAGAGAGGGAATCCCAAGCAGGCTCCACACCGTCAGCGCAGAGCCTGATGTGGGGCTCAAACCCACGACGGTGAGATCATGACCTGAGTTGAAATCAAGATTTAGATGCTCAACCGACTGAGCCCCCCGGGGGCCTCTCACCAGAGAAATCGGACGAAAACTCAAGCCCCTAGCCTCGGTTCCAGAGATTCTAGCTCAGTACGCTTTGGTTATGACCCAAGAATGTGTCCATTTAAAAGGAGCCCCCGATGACGTTGACCTGTATGGCCTACTCCTTGAGACACAGCAGCCTAGTAGCTAAGAACCGGGCTTGGAACCAAGGTCAAGTTGCCCCTCTGCCAGGGGCAGGACCACTCACAGCTTCAGTTGCTTCATCTGTTAAAGGGCGGGAAGAATACCAAGTGCACAGGGCTCTTGTGGGATAAAATGAGGTCCTAGTGTAAAGGTTTGGTATAGAATCTGCTCAGGACAGTTCCCAGCACACGTCAGCTCTTTTTATATGTGGTATTCGTCTTCAGTAGCTCAAGCGACAGGGCCAGAGAAGCGTGGACCTTCTGGGCCAAACAGATATTAAATCTTGCGTAAATCTCTGCGGTAAGATGCCGCGATGGACAGAGAGCCCTCACTCGAAGGACCCCCAGTGGTTGCTGATCCCCCTCGGACTTTCACACACGGGACGAGCGGCCCCCAGCTGGATTATCCGCCGAGGACGCCAAGCAGCCTGGGCAGAAAAGCACTTGAGAGGAAGGGCCTTACGGGTAGGGAAGATGTCTCTGTGCACCTTGGCACCTCCCAGGCCAAATCGGTAAAAGAGAAGTCGAAGTTGGCAGCTCTTCCTAATGATGAAATTAAGGGAACGTCTGTTTCTTCATCTGTGAAATGGACGCGATCACAAGATTGTGCCCACATCGTTCTGAAGGACACACGAGGGAGGATATTTATAAAATCCCCTGTATGATGACGGACACAGTGGTCCTCGGCTAGTATTGCTAACGCCCCCCTTCCTTCTCGTGTGAATAGATCCAGAGCCTCCTTTTCAGGCACAGATATTGATCGGGGGGAGGGGAACCGATGATCCAGATGTGTAATGAGAGTTTAGAGCACTGTTTCTTGTTTTTGAAAAAAAATCTGTTTCCTCTGAAAGACTTAAAAGTCACACTTTCTTCTAACATACAGATGGTCCCAGCTCACAATGGTTCGACTTAAGGATGGTGTGAAAGCAAAAAGCATTCAGTAGAAACTGTACTTTGAATCTGAATTTCGATCTTTCCCCGGGGCTAGTGCTCTGTGTGGTTCCCCCTCTCCCGAGGCTGGGCGGGAGCAGAGAATACAGCTCGTGGGGTCAACGACAGACCCCTTCCCGCCACTCTGTACCCATATCCTGTCTTTCACTTTACAGTATTTCATAAATTATATGAGACACCCAACACCTTTTTAATATATGAAATAGGCTTTGTGGTAGATGATCCTGCCCAACTGGAGGTTACTGTAAGTGTTCTGAGCACGTTTCAGGTCACCTGGGCTAATTTCCAACGTTCGGTAGGTTTAAGTACGGAAAATGCATTTCAACTTACGATGTTTTCAACTCGGGTTGAATTTGTGGGGCTGTAACCTTGTTGTAGGTCAAGGAAAACCTGTATATTTATTATGTTTCGTATGTGTTTAATATATATTATAATCAGACATCTGTGCGTGTGTAATACACAAAGTTACTATTCTGTATTCGCATATAAGGCTACCGGTACTGAGGTCGTAAGACAGCAAAGTGATATAATGGCCCGGCAGGTTGTGAAGTCACTGTGGGTTATCCTACTGATACACTTTCATCCCTGTTTCCATGTACCTGTGTATTTTCAAATTCTTTCCGCTTAGAGCATTTAGTTGGAACTTCCCAGGTTAGTGTGAGTGAACCTTTTCCTGGGAAGCGTCCACGTCCACGGCCCTGTCATGTCCTGGGATGTGCCACCAGAGGGAGCCACGATGTAACGGGTAAGGTCCCCCTACAGAAACCTGAGAGGGGCAGAGGCCAGGGCCGCAGGTTACCAGTAACACATTTCAGATTTATTAAAAAACACGTAGGTAACAAGTCAGAGCTTTGGCTAGGAATGATTTGGAAAAGAATCGAAGGCGTTACTCCACAAAACATTCACAGTTGTGTGCCAGAGACAGACAAGAGAGCAAGGAAGTGTTTTAGAAGCATTTGCGGTGGACAATGGATGGCCCGGCCTCGTCGTATTCCTGTTTGCTGATCCACATCTGCTGGAAGGTGGACAGAGAGGCCAGGATGGAACCCCCGATCCAGACAGAGTATTTGCGCTCCGGAGGGGCAATGATCTGTTGGCCGGGAGGAGACAGAAGGACGGTTAGCGAATTAGGGTAGGGCCGGACGTGCCACCATGGTCCACGCAGCTCAGGTTCCACGGACGGTGGGACAGTCTTGGCTGTCAGATGCCTAACCCCAACCCCAACCCCAACCCCACCCCCAACCCAAGGGATGTGACTAGGCTGTGAAGTTAGAGACTCTCCAATGAGCGCATTTGTTCCTCTGGTTTCTTTTACACAATCTATTCCAAAGCACCTGTAACAACTCTAAGGGTGTTGGTCTATGAAATGAGAAACTAAACGTGGGCCCCAAATCCTGCATGGCCTCCACTCAAGGACACTGATGATGTCTCAGACGCTGTGTCTCAGAACTCAGCACGACACCAGCATCCTCAACGAGAAGCTTCGATTGTGCCAGAACTTACGAGACGAGTCTTGCTCCACCTGATTATGTCTACTGAGACCGTGGGGTCCCCCAGATGGATGACCACTTCCCTGGGGTGGCTCCCAGTTGAGCTGCACTGACTGGCTTTCCCGCTGCACAGGCCTGACACGCAGGCCATGCTAACGTTTCTTAAATGAATGGTTTGGACGCAGAGAGCAGTGAATCGGGGTCCAGGGGTCCCCTCCACCTGCTATCGCCCAAAATACAGATAGCTACAGGTAAGCCATTCCCAAATCCACTCCAGACTTAGATTCTTGGGTAGAAACAAATGTGGACATTTGGGCAAAAAGACAAGGTATTTCTGAAACCCTGGGGGAAAGGTTTCATTTCTGTTTATCCCCCAAGCTCCGTTTGAACATTTATTTTTGAATACAAGTAGCTGATATTTACTGAGTACTTACCACGTGCCTACTATGCTCAACGTTTTATATGAGTTATTCTCATAACCACTTTAAAGAGTATTGAGTACTGCCCTGCCACACGTGGGGAAACTGAGGCTGAGAGAGTTGTTGCTGTTGTTGTTGTCGTCTTTAAGCAGACTCCACGTCCGATGTGGAGCTCAAACTCACAACCCCAAGATCAAGAGTCACACGCTCTACCGACGAAGCCAGCCAGGTGGCCCCAAGAGAGGTTGGAGCAACAGGCACAGGTCCCACTGGCTGTATGCCTGTCAGACCCAGTATTCAAACCCGGACCTCTCCCAGGTGGCTTTTTGTCTGTCTGTCTGTTTGTTTGTTTCATTTCGTTTCATTTTAGAAGTAACTTTTCCAGTTGGGGGTAATTTTAGATTTACGGAAAAGTGGTTAAAGCCAGTGCAGGGTTTCTATAGCCTCCTTCCAGTTTCAGTTTCGCCTAATGTCATAACCTTTACTGCCCCAGGTTTTTAACGGTTTTCTCTCACCGCACCGGAGCCCAAAGTTCCATATTCATTTTATTCCAGAAGCTGAGTTTGGAGGAGCGGGAGCCAGCCAGCTCTGGCTGCAGCTGCTGTAATGCACCCCCACCTAGGCTGGCTTTGTCCGTGAGCCCGGAGCTCGTTTCCTGTCTCTCCCTCCAGTGTGGGGTGGGGCGGTGGGGGGGGGAGACAGCCGATCAGAGGAGCATCCAAGAAACACCAACCTCAGGAACCTGTCTCTCCTGTCACCATGCAGTCTTTCAGAGCCCGGGACGCAGGCCGAGAGCTCTGGTCTGGAACTCTGTACGTGATCTGCAAACCCTCTTCCCGGGAAAGAGAAGGGAATGCAAATCACAGAGAAGGTGCCTGAACACTTCTCGTGTGTGTGATCTGCACGTGGAATGCCCTTTCTCCCGCTCCCTGTGACAGGGGTCAGAGAGTCCCAGCATGGCCTACTGATTTCAGAGAGTGATAACAGCTTTCGGGAATCACCGGGCACATGTTAAGTTGGCCTCCAAAGAACAGTGTCTGTTTAATCTCTGAGTTCGCTTCGCTGGGACTCGGAACACAATAGAAGGGTCTTTGGTGGCTCGGGGACTGAGCTGGCTCATCCCGGAGCGATTCTGCGCTTCTGAGCGCCCGGATCAAAAGGCGCACCAGACAGAGATGAAGACACAGCTCTAATCCCGGCCACTGACAGGTGATCACTTTTAGTAATAGAAGGAGGAGCGTATGCTATTGAACCCACGGCTTTTCAACCTCTTCAGAAATATGTGTGGCTCCTCTGATTTTTTTTAAATGTCTCTGCGAGACGTGGATGCACTATTTTTGTGATGGGGGGAAACGACACGCGTGTATTTTTAAGAGCAATGACGGAAATCGTCTAGACTTACGGTGATCGCTTCACAATATATACAAATACTGAATTAGGTTGTACACCTGAAACGAATCCAATGTTATATGTGAGCTATATCTCCATAAAAAAAAAATAAAGGGATACGCACACACGGGAGCTCTGGTGACCTTTACCCTTGAAAGTAGCTGACAGACAAGATAATTGTAGATTAAATTTTGTATAGAATAACTTAGCTTCTCTTATGAACTGACTTATAGCCAATAAAGAGTGGAATTTGTGGGGGCAGCTGGGTGGCTCCATTGGCTAAGTGTCCAACCCTTGATTTCTGCTCAGGTCCTGATCTCATGGTTTGTGAGATGGATGCCCCACGTCAGGCTCTGCAGTGACAGCACAAAGCCTGCTTGGGATGCTCTCTCTCTCTCTCTCTCTCTCTGCCTCTCCCTTGCTCATGCTCTCTCTCTCTGTATCTCTCAAAGTAAAATAAACATCAATAATAATAATAAAGAGTGGAACGTGTGGACATGGACCCACCACCACCTAGTCCTGGAACCCATGAGCACACGTGAGTAACACGTGTTGCTCTGAAGAGCCCGTCACGTCTGGTGACGGGGTTGGTACCTCCAGCAGCAGAACCGCAGCATCTGACCCCGAACCGTACCTTGATCTTCATGGTGCTGGGCGCCAGGGCGGTGATCTCCTTCTGCATGCGGTCGGCGATGCCCGGGTACATGGTGGTGCCCCCGGAGAGGACGTTGTTGGCATACAGGTCCTTCCTGATGTCAATGTCGCACTTCATGATGCTGTTGTAGGTGGTTTCGTGGATGCCGGCGGACTCCATCCCTGCAAAGGAGACACAAGCCATGACCCTCGGGTGGTGGACGACACCCAGGTCAGACGCAGAAGACCCGTGTGAGCTTCTGTGGGGGGGAGTCTCACAGTGGCCTGAAGCTCGGCAGGAACCACAGTGTAGGAACCGCCCATCCGAGAGACCAGAAGGCTCTTGTTTGTTATGTTCCGTGTGCTTCCATGTCGGATCTAGCCAGGAGGCCCTGATGGGGCACCGTAGGGGCGGAGGGTTACAACATCACATCGCTGATCTTTAACAGACTCACTTCCAGGTGGGGTGCAAGGAAGGGCAGAGCCTTCAGGCCCCCCACGGAGGGTCCCGTGCAGAGCCAGCACCCCCGCCGTAGCTCAGGACCACCCACATGTCGCTTGGCCTGTTCCCTTGGGAACACCCCTCAAACGCTGAAGGGCACTGACTCCCCGGGGAGGTGCTTCATCCGATTTGGACAAGGCTCCTTTCTCTTCTTTTTTTTATGTTTCTTCATTTTTGAGAGGGGGGAGGGCCAGAGAGAGGGGGACAGAGGATCTGAAGCAGGCTTCGAGCTGTGAGCACAGAGCCGGACGCAGGGCTTAAACCCAAGAACCGTGAGATCATGACCCGAGCTGAAATCAAGAGTCCTACGTTTAATTGACTGACCCACCCAGGGGCCCCACAATCCTCATTCTACACATGAAGACACAGAGGCTTGGGGGCGTTAAGTGGCCTTCCTTCCCAAGGTCATGAAAGTAGAACTGAGACTGAGCCCGGGCTCCCCCGTCCCAGAGCCCACCCTCTGTAAACAACGACGCTAACCTTTGTCCGAGGTCAGTGCTCATGTAGGAACAGGCTCTTCCCTTTTTCTCTCTCCCACCCCACTCCTCCCACAGTCTCAGCGTTCAGTGTTATCCTCCCCATCTGTTGATGGCTCTACTGTGTCCTCAGCACAGGCAAGATCTGATTTGTTCACCATTCTCCAGACACACGGACAGTGTTTGCTTAGAAAGAAAATTCCTGGGGCACCTGTGTGGCTCAGTCAGTTGAGTATCTGACTTTTGGTTTCAGCTCAGGTCACGATCTCACAGTGCATGAGTTCAAGCCCTGCGTTGGGCTCTGCACTGACAGCACAGCCTGCTTGGGATTCTCTCTCTCCCTCTCTCTGCCCCTCCCCTGCTTGCACTTTCTCTTCCTGCCTCTCTCTCAAAATAAATAAGGAAAAAACACTCCTTTCCTGGCCTCCTTCTCTCTCTAAAACTGTGACACTCTTTCCCTTGCCCTGGTTTAGAAATGCATTTGGTCCTGTGGCCCTGTCACATGTCCCCCCCATGCAGAAGGATGCTGATGGCCAGGGGCTAGGGGGATGCAGGGGGTTAGGGTGCCTTCCCCTTCCCGGGGACGGGACGCTGGGACCCACCGATGAAGGACGGCTGGAACAGGGTCTCTGGGCAGCGGAAGCGCTCGTTCCCGATGGTGATCACCTGCCCGTCGGGCAGCTCGTAGCTCTTCTCAAGGGAGGAGGAGGACGCGGCTGTGGCCATCTCATTTTCAAAGTCTAGAGCTACATAGCACAGCTTCTCCTTGATGTCCCGGACAATCTCACGCTCGGCTGTCAAGATACAGACACGAGGGTTTGCGCCTGTGCTAAAAACCCACCTGCCTCACATCAGTCTCTCCCGCGGTGTGGGTTCACGGGGTGTAAGTTCGCCATTCTGCAGCCCCACATCCGCGATGGTAATGAAACTATGGAGAGTCCCTGAGGGAACCACTCTGTCCCTGGCAGAATGGTGGGCTCGTGGAAAAGATTGTCTGGGAAATGCTGGGCAGGAGTGAAAGGAGCGAGCCAGGGAAAGGCGCAGAGGAGGGCAGCCTTCTGTACCTTATGTTTTCTTTTTTTCAGGAGCAACGATTCACTCTCTGCTATAAGTGTTTTATACTAGTTTGTCATATTGGATTTTCGATTGACCAGGAAGTCTTATGCTGAAATCTTATGCTTTGGGGCCCCCGCAGTTTTCAAAAAGCTCCACAGATCCACGGTGCTTGGCCCAGTAGCTACACCACTGGTGTATCCATTACCTTCCAGAAGGAGGCAGGCCCTGGCTCAGGACCAGTCCTAGACCAGAAGGCTCAGTGATGCACATTGAAGGAGGTGTGGAGGAAGCAGATGGCCAGTCCCTTCCAGACTCCTGCACTTGGAACTTCTAAGCTATGGGTTCCATCCAGGCCCCTGGAACCTTTGGGAGATATTCTGGGGTTCTTTGCAGGGAGAAGAGGAATGTAGGAATTAATTCACCTCCCTACCCCAGAAGGAAGCCTGAACATCCACAGGGCTCAAGCTCAGAGTCTATAATAAACCTGAGGCATGTCCAGAAACTGAGACATTTGGACAGTGTCTGACGGATGAGTGGAGGGAAGGCGGTTAGGGCCGTGCGCACCGAGGACATCCCAACGTGTCTAGCACCGTGGGACTCTGCCTCTTGTAAGTTCGCACTGGGGCCACCAACACAGAGGCCAAAGACACGTGGATAGCTTCCTGCCAGGTTGGCCTTCATGCCAGCTAACAATCACTGAATTACTGACTTACAAATACCGAATTACTCAGTGTCGGTATCACTTAATCCGGCAATCACGTCGGGGGTGAGACCCTATTCACGGATGAGGAGGCCGCAGGTTGGTGAGTTGGGTCACCCCCACTAGTGCGTGGCAGAACTGGGACCCACGCCCTACCTAGATGTCACCAAGCCCGCCAACCAGTGTGCCACATTCATTGCGTTCCATCTCTGCACTCTCAGCTTCCCACTTGTGAACAGAGGAGGTTAAAAAGTGTCCAAGTCACAGGCCCCTGACGAGCTTACGCTGGAGGTTCTCACCATTCTTCTCAAGAAAGAAGGTGCTTTGCTCTGAGCGTCCGAGGCAGGCCTTGCCAGCTGCACGGTCCCCTCCCGTCACGTCCCTGGATGGTGGCCAGGGTCCTCGAGGTTCCCGGGAAGAAGACGCGGCCCCTGCACCCCCGCCCCTCACTCCCACGGGCCTCGCTCACCGGTGGTCACAAAGGAGTAGCCGCGCTCTGTCAGGATCTTCATGAGGTAGTCGGTGAGGTCGCGGCCGGCCAGGTCCAGACGCATGATGGCGTGGGGCAGGGCGTAGCCCTCGTAGATGGGCACGTTGTGGGTGACCCCGTCTCCCGAGTCCAGCACAATGCCTGGGGGACAAATCGCACGACGAAAGTCACCACGGCCCCCGGTGCGTGGTCCCTGGCTGGCCCAGGAGAAGGGGGAGTTTCTGAGCCTCTGGCTTGAAAAAGAGAGAAAGCATGTGGCAGGAGAGGCGAGGCAGGACAGGCTTGGGGAACATAAAGAAAGAGCAGGAAGAGAGAAAAAGTCCTGCTGGAAATAGGAGCTTGAGGGCTGATTTTCATTATTTCTTTCAAGCTTATTTACGTATTTGTTTGTTTATTGAACATTTATTCAGTTTTGAGAGACAGAGATAGAGCACAAGCAGGGGAGGGGCAGAGAGAGAGGGAGACACAGAATCCGAAGCAGGCTCCGGGCTCCGAGCCGTCAGCACAGAGCCCGACGTGAGGCTCGAACCCACGGACCATGAGATCATGACCTGAGTCGAAGTGGGGCACTTCCCGACTTAGCCACCCGGGCACCCCTATTTATTTTGAGAGAGAGCGCGAGCAGAGGCAGAGAGAGAAGGCAGAGAGAGAATCCCAAGCAGGCTCCACGCTCTCCGCACAGAACCTGACTTGGGGCTCGATCTCACCAACCGTGAGATCATGACCTGAGCCGAAATCGAGAGCCAGCCGCTCAACCAACAGAGCCATCCAGGCACCCCTCCAGGGCTTGTTTTTAAAGGTGGAAGGAAGACCTTTCAGGGCTGGGATTAGCCCTGTCAGTTCTAACTACCCCCCACCCCAGGCCATCCAAACGCCATGTTGATAACCATCAAAGCCCACAACGGATGGTGCTCCCGGTCGCGGCCCCCAATACCGCGTCCACCTACCAGTCGTACGTCCAGAGGCGTAGAGGGACAGCACCGCCTGAATAGCCACATACATGGCCGGGACATTGAACGTCTCAAACATAATCTGCAAAGCAACCGAAAGAGCTTAAGTTAGTGATGTCTCCAGTCTCAGCAAGAATGTTCAGGAGAGCACCTCTTGCGGGTGGGCTCAGAATACAGATGGACCCGCCTGGCTCTGGGCAGAGGAGACTGGGGCAGGGGGGCGATGCACATGTGACTGGCAGGGGCTGTGAGGGCTCTGTCCTTGGCCCTGGCACCTTGACCCAGGAGGGCTTGCTAGACTAACAGCTGACTTCTGTGGCCTTCCTTCCTGGTGTCTCAACTGTGAACGGAGGAGTTTGGTCTAGGGGAGCTCGAGTGTGGGCAGTCGAGGACGCACGCATGATATCAAAGCCAAAGGACCAAGGAAAGACAGCATTCCAGTTTTGACGTCTCTAGTCTATAGGAGAAGACCTTTTAAACCAGAAGCTAAGATGGGTTTGGATTAGCCCAGTTCTGTGATTTGTCTGAAGTTCCTTTTAACCTCTTCCACTTTCCAGGGAGCTGCTGAGTCAATGCCAGCCCTAGACTCTGAGGCCACTTTGGCTGCTGTGGACGAGACCTTGATTCCTGGAAGACAAGATGTGCCCACTGATAGCAGAGGGCCACGTGTGAATGGCAGGGCCTCAACTCATGTGGTCTGGGGACAAGATCAGAATGGGAGCCCCTCCAGGTCACTCATGAGAAGTGTGTGCCCACAAACGTGCCCACGGGCCTCCATTTCTCCACCGGCGAAGCCCCCCCTGGGCCATCCCCCAGAATGTCTGACATGGTTTGCTAGAGAGCCATGCTTCCCAAATATTTTTCTGCCTCCACACCATTCACAAGGACGATCACGCCCATCAGAAATGACATCGCTTGCCTCACGGAGTGACTCCCAGGCACACAGATGTCCCCTGGAGAGAATGACCACGCATGTGTTGGGGTAATCAGCAAGAGCTCTTCTGGGGAAGAAGCCATACAGTATTTCTATGATTTCTATGGATTGTTCTCCAAGGCCAAAAGATCCTAGGTCAGTTCCAGGCTCTGGCACGTCTAGCTGTGTGACCTTGGGACAGTCTTATGTATTGGATCCTTGAATGATTCATTTATATAATCAGATATATAATTATATAGTCATTTATATAATATAACATGCTTCGCGTTGCTAAGATTTAAAGAGACCATGCATGTAAAATGCTTAACCCAGAGCTTAACTATAGCAAGCGTTAAATTGACAGCAGATTTTTTATTCGATAGCTCATCCAAACTGCAAACCTTGTCTGGCTGGTGGAATGGATGGTCTCCTGCTATAAGGTCTTTGAGTTTCAGCCTAGTCACAAGAGTGCCAATAAAAACCATTGGGTGAAGCATCCAACTTCGGCTCAGGTCATGATCTCCTGGCTCACAAGTTCAAGCCCCGCATCGGGCTCTGTGCTGACAGCTCAGAGCCTGGAGCCTGCTTTGGATTCTGTGTCTCCCTCTCTTTGCCCCTCCCCTGCTCACACTCTGTCTCTTTCTCTCTCAAAAACAAATTAAAAAAATAAATAAATTAACTATTCTTTGTTGAATGTTTACTATATGAGGCACCATGAAACACATTTAACATTTTGCCCCGTTGATCTTCACGCCAGCCCTTTGAAAAGCGATAGCACTAATATTATTCCCCATGTATAGATGGACAAGGAAACTAAAACTCAAAGAAATGAAGTGGCTTCATTAAACTCACGTAGCTGATGAGTGACAGATCCAGTTTGCAAACCTCTCTCTGACCTAAGAACCAACTTCCTGCCGTACTTTGAAATGATTTCTCCTTGGAAGTTTTTAAGCTAACGTAGCACCTTTGACAATGAAATATTTTCATTTCCTATTGCTTTTGGAGTCACGGGGCAGTTTCTGCAGAAAGGATGTGAGTTACCACGGCCACGCTACTGTCTCTGGCCTCCCCGGAGTCCCTGGAAAGCTGTTGGTCTGTGAGGGGGCCGCTGGGCACACCATCTCTCTGCTGTCCTGCCCCGCCCCTTTCCAACAGGACTGTCCCCTAACCCCAAATGCTGGATCCTGGAGTGGATGCTCACCTGGGTCATTTTCTCCCGGTTGGCCTTGGGGTTCAGGGGCGCCTCGGTGAGCAGAGTTGGATGCTCTTCGGGGGCGACACGAAGCTCATTGTAGAAAGAGTGGTGCCATATCTAGCGGGGGACGGAGGAGAAACACAATGATGCAACGTCACGGAAGGCTACAGACCCCAGAGAGGGGCTGGAATGAGCTAAATGAAACCAGGATCAAGCAGAATGTTACAAGCACTCATCAGATGTCCACAACTTTACTGACGTGGGCACCGCAGCCCAGAGATTGTGGGTAACTTACCCAAGGATTCACAGCTCGTAAGCGACTGAGCAAAATCCCAAACCCAGGTCTATGGGCCAGGATGGCACAGAATCTGAAGTCAAAATGGGTTCAAATCCCAACTCAACCCCCATTTCTTGGTTGTGTGAGCTTAGGCAAATTTTAACCCTTCCCGGCTCACGTCACCATGGGTAATATCAAAATAACTAGCATGTCTTTGCAAGAGCCCTACGGTTACTATTTAGTCCAGGGGCTGGCCCAGAATAAATATTCCTGTTAGTCAGCTATAACTTTTTTTAAAGTAATCTCTGTGCCCAAGGTGGAGTTGGAACTCACAACCCTGAGATCAGGCGTCTCATGCTCTACCGACTGAGCCAGCCAGGCGCAAACCGTATCTTTCCTCCTCCTTCCACTTTGGTGAATATTCATGGCAAAATGGTTTAGTTTAGCAAGCAAGAGGACAAATGAGTGAATGTGCGAATGGGAGAACGAAGCTGACCTAAAAAAATCTAGTTGCCTTTTTAACACATTTCAGGAAATTTCCCTCCGCGATGTATGCTAAGAGGACGGGTCTCCCTGCCTCCTCCCTCCCCTCCTTGCTCTCCAGGGCTGGCTGAAGCCTGCCTTCGGTGGTGCCCTCAGAACCTCCCATTCGTGGTCAGGTACTTGACCTTCAGGTGCTTCCCAAAAAGCCTGCGCCTATTCATAGCGTGTTTGTATGATGTTCTCCGGTCGTGAGTTTGCTTCATGGTTGAGCGTCCTCTTTAATCATCAGATGCCAAAGAGAACACACCATTGCAAAGAAGTCTAAATTAATGATTTCTAAAGGCCTGGAAATTCTCCCCTGGCACCAGGAGTATTAGATTCATCCAGAATGAAAACCAAACAAGAACAGCTCGTGAAAATTGACAAATGGACGAAAGCTAGATTGGTCTTGTCCCAGTCTCTCCGGTGTTGAATTTGCGGTTTCTAGAAAAGAACTAGGGAGCTTGAAAGTTATACCCCTCTGAGGGAGTAGAAACGGCAGAGAGCTCAAGAAATCCCGCCAGTCATATTATATACTGTGGCTATTCTGGAACAGCACTGACGATACAGCTGATCCCCCC